CTCCAGTTGGACCAAAACACGTCGCTGAAAATCCTCTAGATTTGGGATATGAACTGGCAATAGTTAACCCTGCTGCAGACTTCTACCACAAACCCCACCCGACTTATCCACCCAAGCCCTTACCTGAGATTCATGCTGCCAAGAAACTTTTCCCTCCGAAACCTATCAAAGCTGCATTCAAAGATGTGGGCCGGTTTATCAACGACTTATTTCACAAGCACAACGCGTGGAAAAACCTGAAGTCCCAGTCAGTCATGAAAATTCCCCCCTGGAAGAAGCCTGTCCCTCGAACACCAGTTACAGCCTTTTTCTATGGAGACCACATCCAAGAGGAATTATACAAGCACGCTGTCTCGAAAGGATACGAGAAGAATCCAAAGTTGCACAGTAATTATTACGCTAGATCACCACCCCAACCGTTTGTTCCCGAGCTCCCTCCTCAAGCTTCTCCATCCACTGGAGGAACACTGCCTCATGAGTTCCAAGTAATCGACCTTCCAACCTCACAGTTTCCTCACTGATATTCAACCTTGACCATGTTCCCTTTATTTATTCTTCAACATTCTGTATGCTTCTTTCCTCATGTCCACGAGGAGAAATACATGTAAGCGTGGTGACGCTATTGTCAACGACCTGTGTTTTGTAATTGAGTTCAATTGTCAGATAATGCTTATCAACGCGCAGCAACACACGTATGGTTCTCCAGCACCTCGGTTTCCCAGGAGTTAGTTTTGCATGACAACTCAGAGCAACCGGTTCGCGAGCAAAACTTGCAAGTAGAACGGTTGTTTCGACACTTGCGTGTGCACAATCTTCATTTTTCTCATTCACTCCGCTTTTGGTCTTTTCTTTCACAAAACGCGAAAAAAAATTAATTCTTTGTATGGAATGAATCAGAGTGGGATAAGGCACATACATGGGGTCAAGAAACCTTTTTCTCCTATACAAAGAATACGACACAATGGGGGAAAGCAGTGACTTAATCATAATTCCTTTCAAGACGGAATCATACCAGTTATCAATCATTTTATTTCGTCCCCCTGACTGCCTTACAGCTCTTATTCTGCTGAACTCTGGATAAACGTCTTCATGACTTGTCCCAGTTCGCCTGAACCCACTCTTCTGACCTTCCAATCTTTCTTGCTATGACTTGAAACTTCCTCAATTTTCCTACACATCATTAGTAGCTTTAATTTTGCATTTAATCAATTAAATCTTTTCGAGTGTTTCGCTAGAGTGATTAGTAGGACCCCCACACCTCTTAGCAATGGAGCGTTTGGCATCTTTCCTCGAGTATGGCATCCATGTTTTTGAGAGGAGGCCTGCAGGGAGTTCATAAAAGAGCGGGATCGTCTTGTTTTCAGGTTGAAATTGGCATAATTTCTCTGATTCACTTTTAACAAAAGATTGGATTTTAATGAGATTCCAATCTGAATCCAGTCACAATTGCTTTGGTATGATGGAAGGGAGGAGGGGGGGGGGGGGGGTTGCATGGGATGGGACCAAAAGTCAGCACAAAGGTGGGGTTTCCAGACGATCCTCAAGATGTCAAGCCTGATGCTCTACATGGTTGTTGGATGGTTCTATTAATACTTCACCTTCCTCCCACAAGGTGTCCTGCCTATACTTGATGGAAGCGCTCCTAGGGGGGGGGGGGTTACCAATTCAATCCGAAAACAGTGTACTGCAATAGTAACATCCGGGATCAGGAGTTTCAGTTTCTCAACTTTTCCCTCTCACAGTCGGACTGTAGTTGATCACACTATCCGGCGACGGTGATAATATTAACAGGAGAAAAATATTAAAGAAATAAGCAGTAGTGCTTCTACACGCCCTCAAAGACGCATGTAAGACTAGTAAGTTAGGTTATTTATTTATTTATTTATTTAATGATATGCAACATCCAAAAGGTTCACCATCACTGACCTAGGAAAATTATTGTATAAAAAGGAAGGCGTGGATTTGGTCTTCGATGAGGGAGACTTCGCGCCAAGCTCATCTCTCTCCGCACAACGTTTTCAGGCAGACGTAGACGTCTCGTTAGACTTGCAAATGCTGGGAGATCTGCGAATGACTCATGTTTGCAAATCCTTTGGCGAGAATTGGGCGTTTCCTGAAATCTCCCATTGAATTGTTCGTGCCTGAAAACCACACTTTCTGCAATAATTTTTTGAACTGAGATTCATGGAATAGGCTTACGTGGGATGTGCAGTTTGAAGGCATGGTTGAGTAACAAAAGAACAGAACCCTGTCATGACAGGATTCTTAATTTTGAATGCGAGTAGGCCCACGGCGACTTGCAAACGAATTTATACTACCTTCTACTGTGTATGTTTGATTTATGGTGCATTCTTGAAGGTGAGAGTATATTTTCTCCTTGAAAAGTGTGACATTAGGCCTATGGTGCCAATTGTGTGAGCAGATAAAATTGAATAATCTGAGGACTTGAAGTATCTTGTTGGGGGACTTTCATCACTGGGGAGATTAGGGGGATTGCAAGTAACATTCTGACCCAGCTGTTCCCAGTAACAGTTTGCGCTTGCAGAAGTCTGTAGCTCCTGTCCAATGATGTGTCACTTCAGGGGTAGCAGTATGGGGCATGATGAATGTGTTTCTGCTAGCAAAATTTGCATTATGGGGAGGTGTGGCATGTATCATTTGTAACATGGAGCATTTGCTTGAGGTTTCTATTGAAATTGCTTGTTGATAATCCATAGTTCTGCTCCATAGAGGAGGGCCAGAAGAATGCAATTAAGCATATTCTACCAAAACTTGAGATGAAGGCAAAGAAGTGAAGAGGTTCAAATGGATTTGGACCTTAGCTGTCCAATATTACCATTGCTCTGAGGAACCAGTTTGAGGGTTTGCATTGTGTCCCATTTGCTGATGTTCTTTTCTTAGTAGGTGAAGTAGGGACTTGGTGGTAGTTATATTTCAACAATTGTTGGAATGGAAGATCCAGGTAGGATATCAGAATAATGATGCAGATGAAGTATATATGTCTTGGTCAGGTGGCTATGAAGAATGGAAATGGTAGATCTCTGTAATGTTTGCAGGGGGTGTTGCAAAACCAACAATTGTGAGGGAGAGTGAAGTCATCCATATATACAGAGTATGAACCATGTGAGGGTTATCCCAAAATGGTGAACTTGGTTACTTGGCCAATATGATACTTCCCATAGACCAGGTGTGGAAGACTTTCATCAGACCCCATTATAATTAGCATTTCCTTGTGAGGGAAAAGTGATCAATAGTTAAGAAAAAGGCATGTAATAATTGTTTGGAAGAGATACTAATTTTTCCATATTTTTGCTAAATGTTTTCAGTGTTCATCTGGTTACATTCTTCCCTACCCACAAATAAACTGCATGGTGGAAAAACAATGAGCAGCATGAACCCTACTATCTTCCCATGATTATCCTGTTGAGTCATGCAGTAGTCATAATGTATTGAATGTTGGATCAAATAGAGATAAAGAGAGCTTTGGAATGATATAGAATTCACAGTGATCAGGGTACAAAATACCAATAAATAAATGTGCCCATGTCACTATAGACTATAGAGGACTATATCCACTTGAGAAGTTTTGGGGAGTGCTCAGCATTTTTTTTTTTAGAATGGGATATTAAAAATAATTTATACTAATTTTTCTTTCATTCAAAAATTAAGTTGAATAGGCTCTGTTTAATAAAGAAAAACAAAGGACTGATGATCTGTTTTGTGACTTTACAGGGAAAAAAAGCAACATACATTCATAATCAACTGGTAAATATTTTGTTTAGTAGGACAATTGGTCACAGAGACATCTTTCTTGTTACAGCCAATAGGATCACTTATGTGGCAAGTTCCTGTCAGGTTGCTTTGGGCTCAGTGATTTTCCAAGTATGAGGAACATACTCTCTAGGTAACACATGCAATTGTTCTATAAAGCTGTACTCACATGTACATTGGGTTTGTTGACAAGTATGAAGACTTAGCTGAAAAATGAGCTCATGTTGAACAATGTAGCGTTGCTAGTTTTCCGGTGATGAATTACATCTCAAGCCTTTTCCACATGATTAGGTTTAAAAAAAGTTGTAATCAACCTTTGGACATATTCCTTGCACTCCTGAAGAGCAAGACACACTACATCTGCAGGTTTAGTGTCACCTTGGAACATGCTCAAGAGTCCTTTTCTACATGATACCTGCAAGTACATATGAACTATCGTAGCATAAATCCAGTTTAAAATATAGGTAAATAGGTTTATTCCAGTTAGATATAGTGAAGCTTCTAGTCTCTTCACTTGAAGGCATCTGATGGAGCACTCATTCTGTACAGCATGCTTATTTCCTTTATCTTGTGCCTTTTGAAGTGAATCTGATGTGACCGGAAGTATTGCCTGTTGGAGCCAGCCAGTGGTTGACTATATGAACAGTGAAATGCAACAATTTGGTGTAGATAAGTCTTGTAAGGATTACATATTCATTCTGAAATTAAAAGAGCTGTAAAACACAGTGATTTCACAAGACGTGATTTTCAATCAGTTTGGGGATCTGGGTGAATGCTTTCAAGAAATCACTCAATAGACTAGACCAGATTATGGAAAAGGAATGTGTCCTGGTGCAAGGATTTATTTAAATAGCACTTCCTAGCCTCTGAGTTGACAGAAATAATATTAGGTGCACTCTATAGAAGGTGTTTTTAGCTCCAGGCTTAAAAATAAAATTTAAAAGATTTATTAATCATGATGTTTTGTGCTTTTGGAGCCTTGAATCCATGGGATAGACCTGAAATATATGTGTCCCATAAAAAGTATACCCAGTAGGGTATGAATCTTGTTGCAAAATTCATCACTAGGAGGTTAATGAAGAGAACTTTTGATTGCACTTTATTCTACTCATGGATACTGTAATACTGTATACTGAGCTAGAACAATGAGAAGATGACCATATAGGAGACATGCTTTTTCTTCAAATATAACTGACCCTTCACCTAACATTGCAGACTTTGTCCAGACCACATGTGCCACCTTCCCTTATTGTTTGGCCAAGTGTGAAAAAGAGTTACTTATGTTAGGAAATCATGATTCAGATGAGGAATCTCTGAACTGATATGAACCAGTATTTTCCAACTTAGTGAGACTAATGCTACTTCTTACCATTACTTGCCCCTGGACTGGAAATAAATGAAAGGGAGAAAAAAATAGATGAAAAGGTGAGCTTATGGCTAACAGAAGCATTCACAGCTGCATCAGATCCTAGAACTTGGTGCTGTGTCCTCTGTGATTAATACAATGGTACAATTTTTACTGGTTGAATTCATACCCTCCCATAGGAGTGCTTCCATCAATTGCTGGTAGCACTTCCAAAAGGGTGGTTTTTTGGATTTTCTGATGAAGTGGATCCTCTGGAGGTTGTGATTTCTCCATACTCCACTACCTAGGAGGGGTACCAAATCAATCTGAAAAGAGTGTAGTTCTTGTATCTTGCCTAGCCCAACCTGGTTTTATTACTTGCAGAACTTCATGTTGGTTTTCAGCGTTTGAAATGGCTGAAGGAGGGAGTGAATGTAGGGTAAGGTTCGAGATCCCAATGGAAAGTGGGCCGGACAATAACATGAGGATTGAGCATAACCAAGATGGGACTGAAGGCAGAAGTGAAAGCCTGAAACATGAACCCCCTTTGTCAGTAAGGCCAACCTGCATCATCATCTTGGGAATGGCTGGATCAGGCAAGACCACATTTGTTCAACATCTCACTGCTCATCTTCATGCAAAGAAAGAGCCCCCATATGTTGTCAACCTGGACCCTGCTTGTAAGGAGGTTCCATATCCATGCAACATAGGTGGGTAGAGTGTTTATTTTTCTCATGCTTGTTCTTAATTGTAGGTACAGTTTTGCAGTGTTTTTGCAATGAGTTCACACACCCTCATAAGGGCACTGGTGCTAATAGTGTTTCATCTCTAGGGACAAGGGACATATACTGAATACCAGTTTGCACTGTATGTATGTATGTAAGACTGAAGAAAATGCTAGTTCCATTGATCAGTAGGTCCAGTAGAAAATAATGGTTTGCACTAAATGGCATGTGAACTCATGGCAAAAGCACTGTAGTATAGCTATTTTAGGCCTAAAGCTTGAAGTACCATTTTCATAGCTAATGAAACAGGCTGGTAGCATGGATCTCATTGTATCTTATTTGCACCTTAGCTCTAATATCTACTCTCTTGGTTTGGCCTTCAGCACTGGGGTACTTTAGTGCCTTGCATCTAAAGGCAGGAAGAAGTATCTATTGGTCAGGGGCCAACCTTCAAAAACGTACTGAAGCTTCCATTTAGAAATAATCTCCAAACTTGGTTGGTTTTGAATTCAGGTCCACTCACTACAACCAAGCCACTCACCTGCACCTTTGTGGTAAAGAGAAATCAGATTGGCTCTGTATAAGCAAAAAGGATCCATTATGAATCTCTTTATTTCAATCCTAAAAGTCACAAAGCCCATTAGTCAATCTGAATTGACTGTAAACTTATTTTTAATTGAAGCCTTGCAACCATCTGGAATCCATGGTATTAGACTACTTCACCAAGGTGTATCCTCTATGTGTATGGCAATTGAAAAAAAAGGGAATGGAGGAAGTGTCCCTGCTTTCCCTCAAACCTAAAGTAATGCCTATTCATGATAGGCTTAGGATCTTGCTTGGGGTCACCATTCTGGTACGCCTTGTTATGCCTTAGTTTATGAGTGATGCTCATAAAATTTTATATTCTGTATTATTTCTTGATTCCATTTATATTTTCATATTTTCCAGATATTCGAGACACTGTGAAGTACAAGGAAGTGATGAAGCAATACTCCTTAGGACCCAATGGAGCTATTGTGACATCCCTCAATCTCTTTGCCACCAAATTTGACCAAGTCCTCCACCTGATTGAGAAGCGATCAGAGGAGTGCAAACATGTGATTTTTGATACACCTGGACAGATTGAAGTGTTCACATGGTCAGCATCTGGAAGCATCATCACAGAAGCACTTGCTGCTGGTTTTCCAACTGTAGTTGTGTATGTGATGGACACGGTGAAAAGTGTGAATCCTGTGACCTTCATGTCCAATATGCTTTATGCTTGCTCTATACTTTACAAGACCAAGCTTCCCTTTGTGATTGCCATGAACAAGGTAGGCCAATTTTGAAGTTCTCTTAGTGATTGAATTAGCAATAACATTCATGCATTCATATATTTATCTACTTTCATAATTTTCAGATTGATGTGGTGGATTGTAGCTTTGCCCAGGAATGGATGAAAGACTGGGAGACCTTCTCTGATGCACTGGAAATGGAGACATCTTATATGAGCAACCTGGCTCGTTCTATGTCATTGGCATTGGATGAATTTTACAAAAGCATTGCATCCACTGGTGTCTCTGCATTGACAGCAGAAGGATTTTCCAACTTTCTGGATTCCATTGATAAGGCTAGAGAGGAATATATGAGGCAGGTTCTCCCATTCTGCATGAGTCTTAAGTTCTCCAATTCCAGTTTCTGGTTTTGATGAAACACAGTTCCTTTATCAAAAAGGGTAGCAATTCTCTATGAGCAAAGTTTCTCCAATAATGCATAGGGGACAGGATTTAGCATTTAACAAAATTATATTGAGTGTGGTGCTTGGAAACTACTCCTGAGACAAAAATGGCAGAAGTGATGAGCTAAGCCTACTTGAGAAGAAACCATAAGGACAAGACAGATCCTGCCTGTCAACAGCCCTTTGACTTGTTGCCTCTGAGAGAATGAGGAACTGTACTTCCATTGAGATCTTTTTGTTATGAAAATTTTTGGAATCAAATTTCATTTAGCATCCCAAGCTTAGTGTGTCTGTTTAAATCTGGGGTTGGAAGAGATGAGCAGAGGAAACAAAATTTTAGGAGCCCCTTAAGTCAAAGGGAACAAAAGCTGGTTATTGGCCAAGAGTGTGGAAGTGAATGACAACTGGCATCCCTCTCCCACAGGCTTGAGATAACTGAAAGTATCTGTAAGCATCAGTTTCAGAGAGATGACAGAGATCCCTCTTCCCAAGGCTTATGTATGGAGGCCCCTGAAACTGATTAATGTTCCCATCCTTTTTACCCTCTTCTCCTTCATTCAAGTTTCATTTGTGTGGGACTGCAGAGATCTAAAAGCCTCAGGTTCAAACAGATGCATTCCACTCATGCTTGTGACTGTGCCTCTTGACAAGCTGAATATTTTGAGTAGTGCCTTCATGTGTTTATGGGAAGTAAAATGGAGGTGAATTTACACACATAGGTATGTGCACCTAAGATTGAGCTTTTAAAACTGCAGAACATGGCAAATGGGTTTGGAGTGTTTTTGTTTTACCTGTTTGCAGAATGGCTGTCTTATAGAAATGGAACTGCTTTGCATAATCGAAACAAGTATGCCAGGACTGTTTTAGGAAATATGAGCCTTGGACTCTTAAGCATCTGATGACCTTTATTCTAAGATATTGCTAAAAATAAATATAAAATGGTCAAAAACAGCTTTTAAAAGTCAAGTGAAGCCAATTGCCCTGTTTGTATCTGAAGTTTCATGTATGCAATACCTTTGATGAAGGTGCTGAGATCCCTGCTCTTGAAATTATCCTGTTATATGAAGTCCATTGCTGTCACTGAGCACTTCCCATCAATGAATTGCCAATAGTCTTCCTTTTGCCTTTCTTGTCCACATTGGAAACAATGCCCTCCATCTTTGCTGCTGGAAGTCACAATTGTTTTACTCAAGACATTGCCACTGCTGGACTTTATCAAGTGTATTGTCTAGAGGCCATCAGATCTGAAGAAACCCCTTCAACCAAGCCAGTAATCAAGTGCATTGTCTATAAAATGAAGCTGTCTGTAAAATAGTTAATTAGGAGCTTTGTTAACATTTCATTTTTAAGGTATATGTAAGCTTACCATTATGGTATATTGTTATTTGAGACTTACTCCTAGAGTTCCTCATGAAAGTGAGATGGCACTGGTAGATGAAGCAAATTCATAAGATATTTTCCATTGTGATGTGTAATTTTTGTACTGAATTGCTCCATAAGCCTGACCTTTGAAAATGAGAAGCTATGAATTATCTTTATATAAAGCCCAAAAATATGCCAGCATATTCTTATTATAGCATAATATGCTGTGTCCTTAGCAACATGGAATTATCTGATCTTCAAATTTGAACACCTACTGCAGTCCTCTATGTTTGGAATGATTTAAAACTGTCTCTATCAAACTCCTAGCAAGCAAGGTATGCATTTGCATAATAATCATGCAAATATAATGAAGAAGGTTTGCTTAAGGTTATAGCTGAGTCTACTGAAATGTTGAATTTTACTTTATTGACTTGATGCTAGCAACAATGGTTCAACAAGTTTCATTTTTATATTTTTTGATGATGGCATATGAATTAATTGGATTTTACAATTAAATCATATATTTTTTATTTGTGTTTCTTCCAACAGTGAATATCGACCTCAATATGAGCGGCTGAAGGCATCAAGAGTTGATGCAGAAGAGCGTCATCAAGAAGAGCAGCAGAAGCAGTTTCTTGAGGACCACAAGGAAGAGAGAGCCCTGTGCAAGACGCAGAAACTAGTTTCTGATGCAACTGAGATGTATCTCCGTCTTCCGGGGACTGAGGTGGATGACGATCTTGAGGCTGAAGATGTTGAACTTGGCACCAATGATGTTGAAGGTCTGGGAAAGTTCATGCTTCAGTCTGGTGTCTGAACTGGAAAAAAAAAAAAAATTCCCAACTAAAAACAACTCCATAATTCGCATGATCATTCTTGAAAACTGAGTCAAAACTCAGAATATTGAATAATTTCAGAAACAGTTATTTTTTGTTACTTTTTATCATAAACAATTTTTTTTAATAAGTAAATGTTTCTATCCTGAGAATTTCAAGACTCACATCTTCCACATGGAATCATTTTTTAACACTCATCTATGACATGCCAAGTTTACAATTTTGGCTCTTTCATTTTTAAAAGTTACTATCCTGTATCTATGCTTTACAGTTGAATATTAATAGGGATGCAACTATATTAAGTTCTTGACAACATCCAATATGCAGATGAGTGTACAGGGTGTATGATAAGTAACTCCCTATTTTGAAATGCTTGTAACTCCTTTATTTTTTAACGAAATTTAATGAAACAAACTGTGAATTATACACCAGTTAATGATGTTTTTATTTGTCAACACTTCACTTCCATGTTTGCTCCTGCATTGTCAACACATTTCCTTAAGCGAACTGTTGTGTTACCCACTGCTGATCCTAACATGTGTCAAGGTACATTGTTAAGAATATTGTTGATTCTTTCTTCCACTTCATTAATCAGCAAAATTTGTTTTCTGTCAGTTTCATGTATCTAGGTTGCAGGAATAAAAATTGACAGTTGTTCCAAGTGGAGTCAGATCACAGCCCTGACTTAACACCTTGTGACTTCTTTCTGTGGGGCTGGGCTAAAAAATATGTTTATTGTACCAAACCCAGAAATCTTAATGAACTGGAAGAAAGAATCAACAATTTTCTTAATGTACCTCGACACATGTTACAATCGCCAATGGGAAACATACCTGTTTGCTTAACACATTCGAGACTAGTTGATTTTGCATTGCAAGGACCCAGAAAACCAGTAATTGTTCAGCATTTTCATAAAAACAGTGGAATGTATGATAATATTGGATATAAGCCTGGCCATAGCACGGGCGCAGTCCTCTCCACTATGTGACACTGCCTATGTTACAGTGTTGAATGTGTTAAGGAAATGTGTTGACAATACAGGAGCATACATGGAAGTGTGAACAAAAATAAAAACCTCACTAACTGGTGCATAATTCAAAGTTTATTTAGTTAAATTTCATTAAAAAATAAAAGAGTTACAAGCATTTCAAAATAGGGAGTTACTTATAATGCACCCTGTATATTGAAAATAAAACCTATACTGATAACCAATATCTGTTTGAAGAAAAATAAAAGTAAAATATAAAAAAGACTGAGTCTGAACTGAAATAATCCTATAGGTTCTCCAAAGTGGCATAAGCATAGGATTTAACCAAGTCCTGGACTAAAGATAAGCATTCTTCTTTGCCTTAAAGTACAGGGTGGTGCAAAAGTTGCACACCATAGGGGAAATTACAGTAAATGTTCAAATCGTTTGCCATTACCTTGAAAACACTTCAATTCGCTGCACACATTTGAAGATATCTTAACCCCACCCTCCCTTCTTTTGTTAATTTTGTAGCCATCACTTACCTGCAAGGAAATAAACAGGAATTAAGGTAGTGCAACAGTGAAATCCTCTATGGTACGTGACTTTTGCGCCACCCTGTACATGTTTTACTTAATTGGTGAAACTTGTGGCTTATGAAAACCAATGCATGAGAGTTCTAACCTGATTTAACTATAAGGCTTGTTATTGAAACCTAGAGCTTTCAGGGTACATGGTTGATCTGATCAGTGGTTTCTTCTGGGATTACCTCTTTGATTAGTTCATTTAATATCAATTAAAGATTTAGCTGATTGCTGACAGGCACAACTACAGTAAAACCTCTGATAGCTTATACTGCCATAGCTTATAACCTCCAGTACCTAATAGGGTTTGGCCCCAAGCATATAAGCTAAGGCAGGTTTTACTGTACTTCCCAAATCTCCCTTATCTATGTTTTATGGTTTATTCCTTGGATACATGTACCTATCTGGTATCTGAAAACTGAAATACAAATCAATTGAACAAGATCAGTTGATGTAATAGTATCCATGATGTTCTCATCTTGCTTTGCCTTTATAAAACTGGAGAGAATGTTATGAGCTTATTGAAATACCATTAGATGGTTGCTGTAATAGCTTAAGATCAATTTACACTCTCTCTCAATCTGAGTTCCAGATATATTTATATCATATTGGAATGAATCAACAAAGAGGCAAATCTAAATATTGATGGATGACTTTGTGTGAACAATGAGAATGATGAGGAGATGAGGAACAAGGATTGAATGAGGAAGGTTCAGGGGGTATGACCTTAACTTGTTTCCACCCTCCACCCTATGACAATTGCATTTAGTAACACAGCTGAGTCCAAGACCAGCTTGTTCAAGTGATACAATGTATTGAGCAGCTGACAGTGACAAGCAACTGCTTGCTAGGTGTGGATGTGCCTCTATGTTTCTTATGTGTGCTGTGAGAGTCCACTATGTTTTGGAATTCGAAAAGTGAAGGATTTTGTTATGTTGATTCTTTGACAAAATATGTAATCAATAATAAACAGCGAGGAATAGAAATGAAAAATGGAAGTTGTCTCAGAAGTGAGTGTAATGCAGGGTGCTGCTGCTCATCTGCAAATTTCCAGTGAATTGATCAGAAAACTAATGCCTAGAGACTAGGGATGAGTTCTTGTACCTCCTTTTAGCTGTTAACCCTTTCGTGCAGGATGTCTATTAAAGTGGATGGGTATGATTTTGGCTCTGTTGGTCTTTCAGCCACTGTACACATGTCTTGAAACTTTTGGTGCATTTAGCCCACTCCAGGATGCATCATCTATTCAGCGTTGCCTAATATGACTACTACTGCAGAGTACCACCTTAAACATTAGCCTTTTGCACTCATGTTTCTTGATATATAGACGGTCAGTCAGCTCAGGTTTAATTATTTATGAATTTTACCCCGGGTGTGACATGATATTAACCATGCAAATAAATACATAGAAATGGTATTTTTGGCTTTCAATATGATACAGATAAGTGGTGACTTGACCACCGACCCAACTAACCTGCACTTTACTTGTACTTTAGTACATGGTATTTCTTAAAACAACCTTCTGGATGAAGTCCCAGATATCTGGAGCATGTCTTTCGTCGTAATCATCCCTCTTATCACTTTCATCATTTTCATTATAGTCCTCATCAATGTCACTGTCATAAAAGTCTTCACTACTACTGTAATTCTCAAGAATTTCCTCAATATATGACATTTGCATTTGCGTTCTTTGTGTTGCCATGCTGCCTTCTGACCATGTGCTCCTTCCCTTTGGAACAATTTAACTTTTAGATAGAATAACCCCACTAAAATTTGAGCTTCCAACTTGTGCTAAGAACTAGACATAGTTCAAATATTCAGGCAACAGATGGCAGTGTTTAAAATTTGCTGGGAGACGAGCTTCTCTTGATCCAGTGGGCTAAAATATGTGACGGGAGTCTCCCGACACATAACTAGAGGAAATATATGAAGTCAGGAAGGACCTGACAGATGAGTGCAAAGGGTTGAACAAAACAAAAAAAAAGCATCTTTTTGTTTTGGTTTAAAAATTCCTGCACGGAAGGGTGACTTTTAGGTGAAAGTCAGTTTGCACCTAAATGGGAATCAAGAATCCATAGTAAGAAAGGAACATAGATGAAGCTGATTTGACATATCCACTCCCAGTGGTTCCCATGGAGCATTTGTATGTATGAAGTTGTTGAATTTGTTTTTCCCTTACAGATGAAGATGCCAATGAACATGAAAGCTTTAAGGAGTTCCTTGCTGTACGTAAGTCAAGGCAAGAAGCAAAGGCAGCCACCACACTCAAGGACTCAGGTGGAAGCTGATATCTTCTCTTCATTGCATTCTTTAAAAGTTTATACATGAAATCTGATAATAAAAATAGTAAAAATTTTTAAATGCTATTTCTAGTTACTACCATGTCCTCCAGACTATACTTACTGTACTGTGTGTCTTCATTTTTAGTTCCTATTTTGTCCTTCGTGCAACAGTTGCTAGAGAGATATGACAGCATGTTTAATCTCGGCTGAAGTCTATTTTTAAACCGGAACTGCCGAGGCTCCGGCTACTGATATTTAAGGGACCTCGCTACGCACTAGATAAAACAAAGTGGGGAATTCCTTTCCTGCAAACTTGAACGATTGCGTAATCAATCCCAAAAGGTCTGCCAAATGGGAACGGCTAGCAAGCAATGTTAAGAATAAATTCGAGGCTTTTTTCCCCCATCAATATGCGCCGCGGTAGGAGTCAACGTTCGATCGAACACCTGAAGGACTACGACAGGAGGGGGGGGGTTGTTGATTGCGAATAGCGGAGACATGCATTCTAAACAATCACTTTGCTTCTAAGCTCAGGAGTGAATCCGATGGCGTTCCGACAATGTCTAGCGTCACTGTCTTACATCGAGGATATCACCATGGAAGAGTTGATGAGTGTGATGGGGAAGCTGAAGGCAGGCGCGGCAACTGGCCTCAATGTGATTCTGGATCGTGTCATTGAGGAACTCGTTCAAGAAGTATCGATACTGTTGAAGAGTCATTTTCGAAAATTGCAATTTTCTTCAAGTACCACGTGATTTTGAAATAGCGTAGGTCATGCTGACCCTTAAGATGGGGGATAAGAGCTATCGGGATATTTCAGGCCCGTGAACTTCACGAACGTTCCGGAAAAGATCATGGAAGCATGACGAGTGATCGAATCGTAGGTTTCCTCTAGGACAGATGTCAGGAATTTTTTTGGCCATGTGAGCCATGTTAAGATTGAGCAAGTGCTTGTGAGCGAAAGATTTTCAGAACAATAGAATTTTTCTTGAAGTTGGCAACAGACATGCATTCTTTGATACACGAGAAAAATGAGAAACAACCATAATTTCCAGCCACGACTCAATGAGCCAAACTTTCCGACTCGTGAGTCAAATTTGGCTCATGAGCCATAGGTTCCCGACCCCTGCTCTAGGGTGTCATTGGGAATCTCAGCACGGATTTAGGAGGCGACAATATTGTCTCGAATTTGCTCGAATTCTATGATTGGGCGAAGGATGAGACAGATAAAAGGAATCCCGCGGACATCCTCTTCGTAGACATCGCTACAGCTTCCGATTCCGTTTTGCACAAGAGGTTGTGGACTATAAATGGGAAGCGCACGGGATTGAAAAACTGGTTTGACTGAAGAGGGCAGATAGCAATTGTACATGGAGAAGTGCCGGCGGAAGTAGAAGTCTCTAGCGGAATCCCGCTGGGTTGCCTCCTGGGACCACATCTATTCTTGATTTGCATTAGCCAATCGATCGAGGCTTCACGAGTTAATCCAGAACATTTTTGACGACATGAAAATCAGTTACTCCATGAAGCGGGAGAGTCGAGAGGGCTTTATAGCTTTTAGACAATAAGAATAAAAGGTGGCTCATCAAGTTTAAGGAGAAAAATATACGGTTCTTCTTAAGGCATTATGGGTACGCGATAATTTGATCGGGGGGTATAACGTGGCTCAATACCACGGTATAACGGTGATACCGGCGGGTGGGGGGCTTCAATTACGAACTCCCAGGAAAAAAAAAAACACGAACAGAGCAAATGAAGTATTGTGATGGTGTCGAGCTTGTCGCATATTCATATTATGCCATTCGATTGAAAGCAAGGGGATTTTTTTTTCTGCCCAAATGGATGGATTCACTAGGTGTGTCCAGGAATAATAACGCAATTAAAGTTGCTGGGAGGACTCAAAATATGAATTTCGGGGGAAAAAAAAATCAGGGAAGAGGAACCACCTTATCATTGTGCACAGCCGCACTTTTCATATCGGTATTGAATGCTCAGGTTCACCGAGCAGAGGCCACAGTCAAGGTAAGTCGAACCCACTAATGACAGATCTTGGTCTTTAGCCCGGATTAAATACACTCCGGTAACTTTCAGGATATGCTCCCGTCTTTAGAACGGGTCTTATATGAACGCTCGACCTTGACAGGAGACGCCATAACAGATAAAAATGCCTCTTGACGTCCCTACGCGAACAATTGGACCTTAAGAAGGACAAGGACAAAACTCTGTTGCATAATCTTATTGATATTTATTTGATCTGCTGCATCCCTGGGCACGAATTGTTTTAGCTCTAAACGAGAGGAAAATGAGTGAATTTTAAGAACCCAGTGACACGCAAGTGTTCGCACAGCACGCAACGTCCGTGAGAACCTTCCCACTTGTGATGAATGCTATAAAAGAGGATCCGACGAGAACACCGAGTCTCAGTGTGATTTGGAGCACGAAGAGGAGCGAAGATGTTCACATTTGTGAGTTTGTCCGTCCTGGTTCTGGTGGTGAGCTGTGGAGCTCTGCCACACAGACCGGACCCAGACCGATTGATGTATAACGAAGGCATGCTCGGTGGTGACATTGCTGGAGGGTACAAACTGACCACCGTCAACGTGAGTTCATTTAAACCCATCTCATCGAGTCGCTTCCATCGCTAATCAATTATGGGAATGCAACAGGGGAAGACGGCTATCTTGCCCGATGAGTTCTACGGACTCTGGCCCGATGCCATCGTCTACTACGAAGTTCACTCCAGTGCCGGTGAGTTAACCACGACACAGAAGGCTTTCTTTTCTTTATAACTTGATTTCATGTTATTTGGACGTATTCTGATGAACAGAGAGAATTAGGGACCTCCTCAACACAGCCTTTGCTGAATATCACCAACATACTTGCATCCGGTTCGTGGAGAGGAACGGAAATCCTAGCATCACTAGTTACGTCAACATCCGAGGAGATGAGTCAGGGTTAGTGTCTTAGTGACTAGTTCTCCTTCGAGGAGATGAGCTTCTTCCCCCTTCCCCTGAGTTTCAGGGGCGCAGAAGAATTTTCATAGGACAAACTCTCCAAGCTTTAGCGTAAGGGGAGTTCTATCAATCGTCATAAAGAAACATCCAGAAGGAGCTCATTTATGAAATGTAAACCAGGCCCTTCTTATGGTGTCTAGAAGAATCGAGTGAAGTTTCGAGGTCGTAGGATGAACCAATACATCGAAAACTTGCTCAGCGCGAGCAATGGGAGAAGAGGGTGGCTTCAATCGTAGCACCAGTTTCCTTTTCTTCTTCCTACAAGCCGTGCTTCTATTGTGCGAGTTTTGAATGCTTAATTGTGAAGTCAGGCTGGGAAGACGTTTTTAAGGACCAACTTTTCGAGCGTTTGATTGACATCGGTGAATTGGGATGCATGCATCCCATTAACCGAAGTTGAGGAAACGCTCCAACAAGTTGAGGATGGCCATTTGTGATGCTTCGCACGCATCAGCCCGATGATCAAGATGGGGATGATCAAGATTGGGATGCATGCATCCCAATTTACCGGTATCGATCAAGCGCTCTAGCAACTTGAAAAATTGCCATTAGAGATGCTATTTTGACATGGTTTCACAGTATGACACTCAACAATGAAACAATAAACGACTCGAGGGAAGAAGAGGAAATTGGCGTTATCCGTGAGCCCCCCCCCCCTCTCCCTTCCTCCATTCTTCTGACACTCGACAAATATTCTTAGTATGGCAATCACCCTATGAACTTTAAACTCTATTTGATGCTTTTTGACACCTTTAGGAGTTATTTCTCCTCATCTCATTAATTAACTGCCAAGGGTTTCTTTTGAGCGACTATTTGAATCCCTTACGTTAGAGTTTAGGGAGCTTTCTTGAGGAAGAATCATTATACGTAGGCTGATCAAAAAGGAACGGAACTTTGGCTGCATTTCAAATAATGCTCGTCGAAATCGTTGACAGCTCTGCAGCCATCAACTATATATTCTATTTGCGACTCATGGTAACAATTTCAGTTGTCTATTATTTAAGGAACTCTGTTGGTGATAAAAAGAATTTTCCATAGTTAGTAACTTTCGGCGGATTTTACTAGAATGCCAACGCTGGAGCAGAGGGCAAGCGTGAAGCTCTGAAAATCGTTCAGAGTTCCTTAGCAAGTTGACCGCCACGAGGCGCACCGGTGCGCCTCACTGAATGGGAAAATCAATAGGCCAGCATTGTTGTGGCGGTCAACGTGTTAAATAACAAACAACTGAAGTTTTTACCATGAGTCGTAAAGTGAATATAGTTGACGCCTGCAGAGTGGCCAACGATTTCGACGAGCATTATTTGTGTTGCAATCAAAGTTAGTTCCGTTCCTCTCTGATCAGCCTACGTACATCATTGAAACTCTAAAATATTTTTTCAGACACCGCTAGGGGTTCGTGTACCAAATTTCATGAATAGCACTCAACTCCTTGGTGTCGCAATTTATATGAAGAGCAGTGTTGTTCCTTTTCAAAATTGACTTATCCATCCCTATTAATTTGTACTAAAAGGCATAAATACAAGGTAAAATTCTTCGTTAATAGATTAGTAAAATGTAAAGTTATTTGCTCATCAAGAGTGGAATGTGATGTGCAGTTTAGGGCTCCTGTGTGCTAACAATAAAATAAACGAAAAAATTTTTTTTCGTATGGTGCATATCTGTATAGTTAAAAAATTGTATAGAGAGATGACGTTAGTGTCTATACGGCTGTGGATACGACACTGATGTTCAGTATGCACAGTACACTCGCGTCATCCCTCTATTAAATTTTTGGATTAAATATGCAACTGTGTGAACGAACGTACACAGAAATCCAATGTAGGGGAAGGTGGGGCAAAACGGGGAGGTTCAGGAAAATTGCCAAAATTTAGTACCGAGGAATTGGCGCAGCATGTTGCAGATTGGTATGCGGTATCTTTCATGTCTTACCTACGACTAGAGTTCAACTTCATCGCAAAATCGGCGACGGCTTTTTCCCCCCGACAATTCTAAAAGTTGGCGTCAATTACCCCGTTTTGCCCCGCCCATGGGGCAAAATGGGGTGCCTCTGCGGGGCAAACGGGATACGCTTTCAAATATTGTTTGACTAAGTTTTTATTCATAATTTATGCCTACTTAGGTCACAGAACAGAAACATCAATGGAATGATATTTCACATGCTTTCCCGTGTCTTCATTTTATGTCTATTTAATATACAAAGTTCACAGAACAGTGACCGCAACGAAACATCCACAAATTACAAACAGATGCTTCCTCTTTTTTTCCCCAGGTCTTCATTCTTACCAACAAAGGTCAAAGAATAGAAACAGCAATGAAACATCTACAAATAAACCTTTTTTTCTTCTCATGTTTTCCTACATTTTCGTTCAATGCCTAGTTACCAAGGCCACACACAGTACGGAAACAAAAATGAAACTTTTATGTCAAAAAATTTGTTGTTGCTTCAAATTGTTATCTACATATTCATCCTAGATACAAATTTACAGAAGTCCAAAAAAAAGACACGTATTCATCCGTGTCATCATTGATGCCTGCACAGTTGTCATAAGCTGAAGTCCGGTAACCCAACCTTCACTGGGTTTCGAGCGAGAGAAAGCGTCTGAACAGTAATACATCGCGTCAGCTTGAGCCTCACCATTGCAATGAATATTCCAGCCAGAGAAGAATAGACATACCGCCCCATTTTGTCCCCTCACCGTCACCCCGTTTTGCCTCATCAGCACCGTCTATCGTTCAGACACTGCCAAACAAAAGTTGAGTGAGCTATGCAAAAAATTTGAAGTCTTTTGAGAGTTCACATTTTTACCTTCAGTAGAAAAAAATATCGGACGCCTCCAATGTTCCTATGTTACTTTGTTTCGCTCATAAAAACAGAAAACAAAATAAGAAAAGTCGATGTTTTCTTATTTTGTTCCTTGTACGTTTAACAAACTACTTCATAGAGCTCCGTCGTGCCTGAAAACTTGCACCCGTCGTGGGCGGTTATAATAAGGTAAAGAGCCGATAGATATTGGTATGGTTTAGTTTAAATCTGAGTTGCCCCGTTTTGCCCCTCATCCTATTTTGCCTCATCTTCCCCTACTGCACAGTGTTTCGGGAAAAAAAAACTGCCAATTTGTTTTTGATGATAACGAAAGCACATTTATCGGATCGGCCCAATTTTTAGAACTCGAATGTGGAAAGAAAATGAGAGGTTTTGCCGAATTTGAAAGATATCCATACGTTGGGTCATGGCTTTTGCTCAAAATGGATCCCGCGTTCTCGGGCGCAAGCATGCAGCCACTGTCGCCATTCCAAACTCACTGCATTGATATGCTCTGCTCCAAGCGACCCCATTCTTTCAGTTGACACGTTTTTAAGCATTTTTGTTCGAGATGATTCTCGATGATTCGGTGGACTGTCGAAAGGGATATATTCATATCTCGAGATAATTCCTTTTGCGCTCGGTGGCTCCGTGGATTAACCGCTTGACTCAAAACAAGTATCTATACTTCTACCTCTTCAACAGCTCACTGCACCGGTTGTGGTAGACGCATCAGCAGGAATATCTGGTGCATTTTTCATCATTCAAACTTGAACTGGTGAAGCATCTGCCACAATGGGTCGATTTTCTTCAAGTTCGGCACAAATCTTTTATCTATTCGCATACGTGGTTTGAAAAATTGGGCCGATCGAATAAAATTTACTTTCAGTGCTGTTAAAACGATTCGGCATCTATTTTTTTCCCCTTTCTTTCTTTCCTTTAACACCGTGCAGTATCTAAAATAATCTTTTGATGGGACCGGAACGATATTCCGCAGATGTTGGTCTTACGTGGGGATGTACAAGCACGGTCCGCAGGATCTGTCGATTCAGATCCCAGGCTGCGATTGGAAGGGGATCGTCCTCCACGAAATCATGCATGCCGTCGGCTTCTGGCACGAACAGGTCCGCTTCGACCGCGACGATTACGTCATCATTCACTGGGACAACATCATGAACGGCTACGAGAACAACTTCGATATCGTGACCCTGGATGAGTCCCTGGAATTCGGCGTTCCCTACGATTTCGAGTCCGTCATGCACTACGAATTAGACGCCTTCAGCAATAACGGGGAGAACACGATCGAACCATATGGGGAATGGGCTGGGACCGATCCAGGCCACGTTTGGGAGAAGAACTTCTTCGCCCAGTCTGACATTGATGAGCTCAACGCTCTCTACTGCTCCAAGAAATAAATATTGGTCGATCCCGATGTATTCGGTTTTTCCCTCCACCTCTCCTCCTTGTCCTTTCAGATTTTCAGAGTAAATCAAAACGCCGAGCGGCACGCCGCAGATCGATATAGCTTGAATTCACTTTGATTTATTACGGGTTCCTATAAGAAATTGAGTTTTTACTGTTTTCGTGAAAGCCGATTGTGGAAATGTATCAACTCTATTTTAATCAATCTGATGCATGGCTCTCATTAATTTCCTAGATTATTAGAATGGCACTTAAGAAGTTTATGAAAGAACGCCCGTAAGGAATATATATCTACGGTACAGAAGTACCTTTCATTCATCGTATATTATATCCGGGACCATTAACCTGCAAATTAATTCCGAAGGGACGGAACGAACTTTGCGGCGGAGAGCCATACCCTGCCACTCCTGCAGGAGTGGCAGGGCTTGAATACCCCATGGGTATTCAAGGGAATTCATGGGAATACCTCCATGAATGCACTTGAATACCCTCATGGGGGTATTCAAGCGCACGACATAGTTTCTTGTTGCAGCAACAGGTCCGGGATCCTATTCAAGATATAAGAACTGTATAAGAAAATCAGTTCTCGAACTTTTTGAAAACACCTAGTATTCTTGCATTCGTCTCCCATGAATGTATTAATACTAAATGCACCATGGAAATGATTAATGTGCATGACACTTTTATTAATTCTTCAATTCGACAAAAATATGCGAATGGAGTTGAGCAAAGACTCAGATTTTCGAATCCATGAACAAGAAACTCAGCTTACTCAGGCCACCAACCGTACAACGCCGATGACTTTCTCATAAACTACGTTGAATTCCGAGGGCGCATCAGCTCACTCATACAGTATTACGGCCATCATAGTTCACGACGGTTTTTGCAACTACCGTAGTGATTTCGCAACTACCTGTTGTTCGGAAGGTGCCTAGTAACGGTAATCCGAGGTTTGGGGACGACAGATGCATCGACTGAATCATCTTTTCGTCTGCATCTGGTTAACTCAGGTGCTGATGTCGTGAGTACTGTATTCCAGGCTTTCCGCGCAAGGCAACGCTTCAACACCAGGAAGCCAAATTATAAAACGATTCCACGTCATCTCCATCCGGTATCCCATTCCAAGAAGCATAAAAATTTGCGAACGATCCACGATCCACTCATTTCTCGACCGCATATTTCGCAATTCGACTTGTTAGCTCAGGAAATACGTGGGACACGATGTCGGAAGCGACACACGAAGACATGGATGAGACAAAGTGAATCGTCCACGTTTCTTCATTCATTGCGAGGAGCTTCTTTCCCTCCCTCCACTTCCCGCTTCGCAAGACAGGCTCAGTTGTAAGCATTTGAGTCAGGCGATGTATTCGGCTTCCTGCCATTTTCTAACGATGATCATATGATCGGGGGAAAAAGAAACACAAATGATGAGAAGATAATCCCAATAGTCCTTGTAAAGCCAATCTCACGTACAGAAAAAGGAGCAAGGATCGTGTGCGAACTAGCCTTCGGAAGCGAGGAAACAAGAAACCTGACCCCGATGATACTTTAAGAGAAACATGACAATTACAGCCCGTGTTCAAGAGCATGTCTAAGACAGAATGGAGTCCAAAATGCAGTGAGGAGAACCATGTCTATCACAAGAGTAGGTGTATGCAAATTTCTCCTGACTTCTCCCTCATTCAATTCCACATGGTGATTGGAAAATAACTCCCTATTTTAAAACTTAAATAACTTTTGTACTTTTTGGACTGGAACGATGGTTTTTGTGCCAAAAGCAAGAGTATTCAATGAGGTTTTATGATTTCACTAGCGGCCTGCGGCCGCTACGCTGGCCGTCTAATAGATTGAAAGTATACCAAAGTTTTTATGGCCTAGAATGGCTTAGCCTTGTAGGCCTTACGTGTTAGGCTGCAGGTGAGTGACAACTATTCACCACCGCTTTCGGCCTCTTTCCATTTTTATGGCTTATACTAGGGTTTGGATGTTATTTTTGAGTCGTGACCAAAAAAGTTTGGGAACCACTGGCTTATACTACGGCCGAGAATGGTTGAGCCTTGTGTAGGCCTGGCTCTTTAGGCCGTGGATGGCCTGGCCTATCAAGGCCCTCCAGAGTGGCTAGGTGCGTGAAGGCTTTTTTCACCTGCCGTTTAAGTGACTGCGCTATAAAAGGCCGTGACTGCGCCTATTCCACTCATTCTCTTTTGAGCCCTCGCCGAGGCAGCTACGTCTGGTTTTCGCTCTGTTTCTTGTCTCTGACTGCGCTGCAGACCCTAGGCTATATACATGATTCTCATTTCTGTTTAGGCCTTTCCTTTCCTTTCTTCGTAGCTTTTCATTCGTTGTGTGGATATTCTACTCGACTGCTCTTTTACACATCAGCTTCATCTTTTGAAAGCAAAATAAAAATGGGTTAAAGCAGCGGACAATCCTGCATTGTACCCGCATGTAGAAATACATGGAGAAATTCACGTCATCATGATCCACCCACCACCTTCCACCTAGTACCACGGGATGATGCAGCCAAGGAGAAATGGTTATCAGCTTGTGACCGAATGGACTTGCAGGATAGGACAAGGAGCTTTGTTTGCTCCAATCACTTTCTTCCTAGTGACTATGAAGGGGGCATAAGAACAAGCTTCTACAAAAAATCGCCCATTCCACTTTGTCTTGATGAACCTCCACACCTTGATCAAGATCAAATGCAAATTGAGGTATTGATGAGACAGAGTGAGGAGATATCTGAAACGACAAATCTCTCAATTCCATCAAAATGTTGCCCTGAAATCAGAGAGAAATTGAAATTGAAAATCAGGATTCTATGAGGTCTGAAAGTAAAATTACAAAGAGTTAGGTTAGAAAATCTAAAACTCAAGAAGGATGTGAAATGTATCAAGAAAAAGCTTGCCGAGTTCTCCAATTCACGAAAAAAAGAAAGCGCTCGTGTAAAATTGTTGGAAGGACATTTTTTTCTGCACAATTACATGTTCTCAAGGGAGGAAAGAGGCCAAAACAGTGGGGTCATGGCGAATTGGTGAAGGCTTTGTGTCTCAGGGCTCTCTCCCCCAAAGCATTCACATACGTTCGAGAACAACAGAACAGAAAATTCGAGAACAGAAAATTCCACTTCCTGGCCTATCAACCTTGACCAAGTGGTTCGGAAAATTAATATATCCCCAAAGCAAGCCCCCACCCTATCGAAGCGAGCTAAAGGCGAATCATATCCCAGCTGTGACGTCACTACACGCACATTCACGTGCCTCAAGTGACTGCGCTCCCTCCTCGGCCGCTAGGCGCGTGAGCCACTCGAGCCTATCTGATAGTCCAGGGGTGTCAAACATACGGCCCGCGGGCCGGATCCGGCCCGCAGAGGTGGTTCATCCGGCCCGCCGTCTGCTTCTGAAATTTCCCCCATGAATTGAGTGTCAGCACAAATTTAAGTGAAATTTTATGGGTGCGGCCCGCAGGCATCTGCAGGGTAAGGAATGCGGCCCGCCGACCGATTTGAGTTTGACACCCCTGTGATAGTCTATGTATCTTGCTGGCCTATGGCCTGGAATAGTAGGCCTCGCGCGTTAGGGGTGACTAGGCAAAATCGGTGGCTTCATACGCACGCACGCAGCTTTACTACGTTTTTAATATGCCAGAGTATAGGATTGTTGTGTTCGTTTGGATCGACCTTCCATGGTGCCAAAGTTGAATCTTCGACACCATGCGCAAACAGTTACACGGTATGAGGTGTGGAGGTGGAGGAAGTAAGGAGTTGCTTCCAAAGCATGCTCCTTTCACCACCACCTCTAGTCCATATCGGAAGACCTCCAATCCGAAAAGTGCAAACGTTATTGCAATTTTAAAATAGGGAGTTACTTCCTTTATATCTTTCAGAACCAATAAGTTTCTGCATTTCCTTTTCTGATCGTCCTTGCGAAGAAAGCATGATCACAATGAGAAAAGGTTAATACAAATCTTGATTCGTATTAGGCATTCTGCTTCATTTCCTTCAGATGCGTCAGTACCTCAAGTTTTATTTCTAATATCATAAATGTCCTTTCACGAATGGGACGCTGCCAGTATACTTGATGCAAACGACAGCAGATGCCTCTTCTGGGTATAAGAGGATGGACTAGGATTTCAAGATTCAAGATAGTTGGTGATATCGAGGCGATTTCGCCCATTTTGATATCACGTGTCGAGGTCGAGCGTTCCTTAATATTAGGGTAGGCCTAACCCTCTTAAAGCTAAATATATATATATATATATATATATTTTGTTATTTGCCTATCCTAGTTGCTTA